AATGTTTCTAACCCACCCCCCCCACCCCACCCCAATCCACACTCACCACCACTTTCTCTACGTCTTTCCTGCTCACTCTGTCTGGCTCCCCTCTTTGTGGTTTTTCTCACTGTCAATTTTCCTCCTCCATCTCTTTTGTACAACACCTTTTTTATTTTTTGTTGCTTTTTTTCCCCTTCTTTCTCTCACCCCCTCTTCCCTTCCTTCCCTTCCCTTCCCTCACTTTTGCCCCAGGGCAAAACAGCCTCCCACATAATTCTGGATGTACACAGGCTCGGTGGTGTCACAGTGCAGCGTGTTTAAAGTGGCTCTGAGACCCGTCGTTGCTCAAACCTCATTGTTCTGTGTGCGAGCACTACCAGTGTGGCTTCATATATGCCACACAACATGTGAARTACATGCTCACGCTGATGAGTGGGTGTGTGTACAGCCATGCAGGTCTGTGCTACTGTACAGTAAATGTGTATGTGCGTGTGTGTATGGTAATAGGATTACTCCTGGCACAGAGAGGGGACACAAACTAGTGCAAAATGGAGGAGGTAGCCAGCAGGGTATGGAGCTTAGCTGGGCCTAATTGACTAGATCCAAATTAAATATGCCATCACCAGAGGTGTGACCAATGGATTTGACTTATTCAGTTTACAAAAATAGGGACCATTAACTCACCACACAATGCACGTGCACGAGCGCCATAGTGAAAATATGCTCCCCTCGTCTTTTTTTTTTTTTTTTTGTCATGAAAGTCAAAAAATGAAAACAAAAGATGGACATTCTTGCAGGGACATCTTTCCGATTGGAACTGCAGGAAGTGGTGGTGGGGGGTAGGAGGAAAAAAAACCCTCACTATAAAAATGGGACATGTGTGTCTGGGTTTATATGCAAGTGTGTAAACATGACGGCTGGTTCATGCGTCCAAGCAGCTGCTAGCCTTTCCCAACAGACTTCGCTTTAAACAGCCTCAATTTGCCTGCTGAATCTCGTAATTGGGCCACCAGAGGAATTCTCTGCGAGACGGGCGAACGCGCAGGGAAGACGGGCAGAGAGAGAAAGAAAGAAAGAAAGAAAGAAAGAAAGAAAGAAAGAAAGAAAGAAAGAAAGAAAGNGAAAGAAAGAAAGAAAGAAAGAAAGAAAGAAAGGAAGGAAGGAAGGAAGGAAGGAAGGAAGGAAGGAAGGAAGGAAGGAAGGAAGGAAGGAAGAACGACTAAAGACATGGCGAGTAAATGACAAGAGGGAGGGGTAGAGGGAGGCAAAAGAGGAACGACAGAGGAGGGAGGGAAGAATAAAAACAGCCAAAAGAGGACTGATGACAGAAAAATGTCTTCTCTTCTTTACTTGTCTTTCCTTTACATCTTCATCTGCTGCCGCTGTCTCTAAACTCTACTACTTTCCTTTCTAGGTCATTTAAAAGTAAGTGATGTGTTATATTCTTTCATGACCAATTAAATTAATAGGTTATTACGTGAGGAAGGAGGGGGGATAGTTATCTTATTTGATTAAGAGAGTGCAGGTTCATTATATTTTATAAGCTATTTTCATTATCAGAGCTGAGATTTTGTTACTGCAGGGGCTGAATTGAGCGGTTATTGTGCCGTGGAGTGCTGAGCCTTGATACAGAAGGTGTGCCTAGCAGTCACACCGCAACATTAGTTAAAACTAAAGCCAATTAGTCCTGCTTAGTGAAGAGCGTTATGCTTTCCACCCAGTGATGATTACGGAGCTTATAGCCCCATGCGAAACAATACACCTGTCAGCAGAGATGAAGCCCAGCAACTGAAGCAGAAGCGAGCGGAGCCTTTGATAGCAGCAAGAATGACTCCCGGATGACCCTTACTCCCGTTTCCCCCTTCTTCCCTCTCTTCTGTTTTCCCTCTTCCACAAAATTAGCCATGTGTGGCCCCTGAAAACTGTAATCTTGAGTTTTCGGAGCATTATCACTGAGTGGATGAATTAATTATGACGCAGAGAGTATGGGATTTTTCTCGGTCTTGCCCATTAGGTGCTTTTCCCCAAATCTTGGGACAGAACGCTTGAATGAGCGAATGCTTTCGCTACCAATCTCGGCTGGAGACCCTTTGTCCCAGAATTCATTGCTGCAATCATTAAGCCCAAATTTGTTAACCTTCTGCTGAGAGGTCAAGATCCCTTCCCTCAACCCCAACTTCCACAAACCCTCSCACTGTCACCCCCACCCTAAAATTCTTCTTTCTTTTTTTTTCTGGTGGATGAACCTTTACTATTRACGAACAGTGGAAGAAAAAAGCAAAAGGAAAAACAGGCCCCGATGGGGATTGTGTGCCCTCTTGTATTGTCCATGTGAATGCATGTCCCTGTTGATTTGGCCCTTGTGGAATCCCCCATCAGAGTCTAGGAAATGAGACTTACAGCTCAATGTATTGATTGGCTTATTAGGTGAAAAACCCTATAAGCAATGTTGTGCTCTTTCAAGTACTCATAGCATTATTAGCCCCTTGACACGAGTTTAACATAGTAATCAGAACACTCTTGTTAACCAGGAGTGAAAGAAAATGTACAATTCAAAATGACAAATGCAACAGATGAATAATTTGTTGATGCTCTGGCTTTAGATGTGTTAATRCTGAACATGACTGTGCAAAAGTTTCAAACCACACCTAATTATTGGCCTCTGCCAAAACCAAAGATGAAGCTACTTCTGTTTCCTGTCTATGTGTGGGTATGTGTGTGTTGGATTGTACCATCATCAAAATATCTTATGAACCATTCATAGATTTTAAGTGAAGTTTTCAGAATGGAATAACGCCTACTGATTATTTTTTCAAGTCAATCCGATTCACATGGCCACCACAGCAAAGCAATCTTAGCAAACACATAGCAGGCTATAACTCGGTACATTTTACAGCTGCTGAGCTAAATTTGGTGTTTTATTAGCTAAGATGAATCCCCAACTTATACTGTGAATGCTTGTGTTGTATTTGTGTTTGAATCTTTGTCAGTAACTATCAAAAAGAACTCTGTTATAGCAACATATTTCATGAACCACAAAATGGATTTGAATAAAATTTGCAGAAAGCAATTGTTGACTTCATTACAACTTAACTTTGGAGTCAGTTTAATTCAAGATGGCCGCCATATCTAATTGACCTTGGACAGCATAAAATGACTGTAGCTCAATGGATTTTACAGATATTGTGCTAAAATTTAGTAGCTTACAGCCACTGGCAACACATGTTCCTAACTCCAACAGATCTTGTGAGTTATTCCAATATTGCATGCGTTTGCGCTTAATGTTATTTTCAAGTTTAACCAAAACAACTATAATTGTCATTTCTCAGATGACCTCTGTCAAAATCTTTAGTGTGAAAGATGACGAGTGATGGGGACTGCTAACTCTTTAGTTTTCTTTGTATTTTGCTTTCAGGGAGTTAGACTTGCTCATGATCTTTAAAAGTACTTTTGATTAATAGTCCTTCAGACTTTCTGAAGGCCTTTTAAAGTTCTTTTCTTTGAACTCTGACTGCTGTTTCACTCATTTATTGGCCAATCTTTGTTCAGGACCAAGACAATATATTGTACAACGTGTACTGAAAAAAGTAAGGAAAGTAGTAAAAAATGTGTCTCTGAATGTCATGTTTTTTTGAATATTTCAGGTAATAGCTATTCGGGAATCACATAATTGATGCTAAAATACTATTTTTTAATGTTTGTCAAACCATGTTAGTTTTGGTATTTTGCATATATTCATCTAAAAATATTAGAATTGCAGCGTTTTTGACAAGCTGCTGGTAACAAAGTGCCTATATAACTTAATTCCAAATTGGTTCTTTGTTTCAAAGTTAAGTGGCTTTCCAATCAAACAAATAACAAAAGTCAGATCCTGAAATTGAC